TCGTCAATGTCTCCTCTTAGATTTGCATCACAATAGTCTTCTAGGATAAGATCCTTAGTTCCATGACATAGATCATAATTATGTGTCCCTTTTAAAAATTTAAATATCCTCTTTACCAATTTCCAATATTCGATTCCAGGGTTAGCCATATATCGACTAGCAACCTCCACTACACAAGCTATTCCAAGTCTAACACAATTCATCAAATAGTTAAGAGAACCAACAGCTTGTGCATAAGAGTATTTTTTCATTATCCTTTTCTTTGTTACTTTTAGGACACATTTCCTTAGATACCTTACTATATTTTTCAATCGGGATGGCCATAGGTTTCGAGTCCACCAAATTAAATTTCTTTAATATCTCAAGAGTATACTGATCTTGATTAAGAACTAACAATTTTTTATTTCTATATCTTGTCACTTTAATTCCCTAAGACATTATCAACTTGTCCCATGTCTTTCATATCAAATTTGGAGGATAACCACTCTGTAAAATCATGAATGGCTATTGCATCACTCCCAGGTAAATTCAAATCATCCACATACAGGACTAAAATCAAATGTATACCCCCGCAGTATCGAGTATATACATCGTCAAGAGCAGTAATATTATCGAATCCAAATTCTCTAAGAGCTATAATAAACATTAACTACCATTACCTCGAGGACTACTTCAAACCACAAAGTGATTTTATTAATTTACATACTTTATCTTCTTGACCTTGAGATTCAAAACCTTCAATTTGAGTTATGTAGATTTCCTCTTCTAGTTCAGCGTTTAAAAACACGTACTTTTCATCAAATTAATGAAAACCTTAAAATCATAACGATTAGTTATTGCTAATATTATTCTTATTGAAGATTTTTTTGCTACAGATAAAAGATTTCTTGAAAATCAATTCCTTCCTTTTGGCTAAACCCCTTAGCCACTAACCTAGCTTTCTATTTTTCAATATTACCATCGGAGTTCAATTTCTTAGAGTACACCCATTTACAACCAATTGCCTTTCTATCTGTAGGTAAATCTACTACAACCCATGTTTTATTGCTCAGTAGGGACACTCATATTTAACCTTCATAGCTTCTAGCCAGCTACTTTCTTCATCGGAGCCGATTGCGTTTTAAAATTATGGGATACTTCATTCAATTCATTATAATAAATATAATCATCAAATAACTAGTTTTTTTTGTTTTCTTAGTAATTCATCTAGGTTCATACAACTTAGGTGTCGGATCAACTCTAAAAGAGATTTTTACTTCAGTTGTCCTAGGATCTGGTGATTCCTCTTGGTCACTTTCTTCTAAGAGTCAAGATTGCTTATAGATTGGTATTTGAAAGTCTTCAAAGAAGTGGGCTTCATTACTCTATGATTTTTTTAGTTTCATCATTGCAAAATCTATATCCCTTGGAATTAGCGAAATGCCCAACAAATATACAATTGACACTTTTAAGTCCTAGTTTCTCAATATTTTCATGAGGAATATGAACATGTGCAAAAGAGGCCTATACCCTAATATGATTTGAACTAGGTTTTCTTCCAAACCACAACTCAAAAGGTGTTACATTAGTCCATTCAAAAGGGACTCTATTTAATATGTATGTTGCTGCCATAATAACTTCACCCCAAAAATAATATTCTACACTGACCTCTTGTATCATACAGTTGACCATATCAATCAGGTTTCAATTCTTTCTCTCGGCCATACCATTTTATTGAGGAGCATATGGTAAGAATGTTTTCTTAATAATTGCATTCTCACTACAAAATTGATTAAACTCGTATGATATATATTCTCCTCCTCCATCACTTCTAAAAATTTTAATTTTTTTATTTAATTGGTTTTTAACTTCTGCTTTATATTTCTTGAATTTGTCTAATGCTTCATTTTTATGGGTTATTAAATAAGTGTAAGAATATCTAGAATAATAATTTATGAGTAATAAAATATAGTAATACACACACCCACCAAGACTTTTTGGGTTTTAGTTTTCCCCAAATATCAATATGGATAAATTCAAGTTTTGAGCCCTTTTACCCTTAGGAAATTCAACTTTCACATTTCAATTTTTATTTTTCTAAATAAGGGATTGTATTTTCTTTTATTAATTTATTCAGTTTTTCATAACCAATGTAACCAACGCTTCTATGTCAAACATTGAAACACTTATCATAAGCAAATGGCCTGTTCATTTAATTATCAAGATCAAACTTGTACATATTGCCAACCATAGTGGCTTTTAGAACACAAGCAACATTTTCCTTAATAATCATTTTCCCATCTTTTACATAGACATCACCTCCATCCTATCAATTCTAGCAAGAGAATAATTTCTTCCTCATATCTGGGGCATACAATACATCAATAAGAGTCAAAGTGCCACTGGTTGGAAGTGGAAGGCTAATGGTGCCCTCTCCAAGAATGTTGATACTAGACAAGTTGCCCATGTGAAGTTTTTCAGCACCATCACTCTTTTCTTTGAAGTCTACCTTTTTGTTCTTGATGTTAAAAATGTGTCACGTAGCTCTCGAGTCCACCCACTACTCATCAGGGGAACTCACCATCAAGGATTCTTCAACCACGAAGGTAAAATCCTCATTGTCACTTACTCTTCCAGCAACCTTTTCTTGGGCTCCCTCCAATATTTGGCAATATAGCCATATTTATTACAATTATAACATTTTTTAAATTTCAAATAAGTTTGTCCTTGATGAGGTTTCTTAAATTTCTTTTTAGATTTTTCCTTCTCATTCTTGTTCGCCATTGCTAGATAGGCTTGGTTTCTATCCCTTGCATTCTTCTCCCTAAAATCATTTTCTTTCATCCTTAAGTATCTTCTTAGATCATCTAAAGTATGGACAGTCCCATTATGGCGCAAATTTTTGTTTAAATACTTCCATGAGTTCGGGAGATTTTCTATAATCTTCATAATTTGTTGATGTTCACTTACGGGTTCACCAAAACTAGCAAGTTGGTTATCCATGATGCACATATCCTCAAAATATTCAAGTACCGATTGATTTTCCTTCATCTTATACAAATTGTATCTTTCATACAATTCACACTTAGCCACATAATTATCATCAGTGTGTCTTTTATCAACAACAGCCCACAAATCTTTAGGATTATCATAGCATTCAAACACTTTTATGTAATCTATCACTAAGGCAATTTAGAATGGCACCTCTACATGTGAAATCATCATTTCTCCATGTAAACCTTTGCCTATCTCTAAGAGGTGTATCATCATCAGGTGCAGCAGGTTTTTCATCATTAATCACATATAGCAATTCCATAGTATGAAACAAGAAAAACAGTTTACTTTTCCAAATTGAAAAGTCGAAGCCATCTAATTTTTTTATCTTCACCAAATCGGAGAGAATGGTTTTCGTATTTCCCATTAAAATAACCAAAGCTCTAATACCAAATGTTACGATCGATTTAGAGTAGCTTCTGATATGGATTAATGGAAAATCAAATCAAAATCTATCTTTTAACCTCACTTGAAAATATTATCAAACACTTCACATGCATATAATCTAATCACATAAGAAGCATAAACAATAATCTATAACTAAGAGCTCCTCAAATCAACAAATCAACAAATCAAATCCCCAAATTGGTGCCATCTATTTCATGTTTTATCCTTGCTATTAATCATACCAAATGAGAAAATATGAAGTATGGAACGAACTCACCAATTGCTTCAACTAGGGGATGTAGAGAATAAGCAAATCTACAACTCAAAATATCAAAAGCACCCCAATATGTTGTTGGAAATTCTGGAACATCAAAAGATTAGTAGCAGTATATAGAGAAAGAGTTAAAGATAATGAGGCATGATATAAACTCAACAATAGCTTGTCTTAGAGTGACCTTGTAAGGCTTTTGGGTGCTCCCTTGAGACCAAAACACCTCTAAAATTTGAAGAGAGAGAGAGAGAGAGAGAGCGAGAGGAATTATGAGTAGTGAGAGAGCAAGACTAAAACACCATAACTCTCTCTTTAAGCTTCAAAATTCCAACGGGTGGATTTTTTGAGAACATGTTTTCTTTTTCCTTTAAACACTTGGCAAGAGGGATACATGAAAAAGTCTAAGGGTATTTTGGTCATTAGAAAAAAGTGATTTAAGAAAATTTAAAAAATGGACAAAACTCACGCCTACAAGAAGAGGCTTTGGAGATTCCATCCATGCTATGTGCAAGTAAAATAGGAGCCATATGGAAATTCACTTGCCTTTGTGGAGATCTTATGCCAAGTGAGAGTTGTAGCATACATGCATGCATGCAGTCAACAGTTACAACTAACATGCAAGCCACCACACTCCATGCAAAGACATCTTATCACAGGGAGTGCTATGCATACGACCCTCAGGTATACAAGGGAAAGGTTTCTTGAAATCAGTGCTATAATATAAGTGTTACTATTTGAAACGAAAACCAAATGTCAGCTTATACAGGTAATTTGTTAAATGTGGACAGGTGAACTGTTCAGTGCACCTTATGCATATGCAGGGGCATGACACTACATGACTCATGAATCATATGTAATACCACAATGAATGTTAAGATCTATTTGGTCTCAACAAATAATGTTGAAGTGGCCAGAGGCTATCTTGAGGATATAATCAGGACAACATAACTCCCTATATATTGAAGGACCTACAGAATCATTTTACTTTCCATTTGCACTTATTCTTTGCATTACTAAAAAGTACAAACTATAATATCCCTTCTCCTTGAATTAGTTAAATAAGAGAAAATGAAGAGATTAGAGGGGTATAATATATAATCCAGATTAGGATTCATACAACATAGTGTATAAATTTAGTTTGAGTTCAGTTAGGACATCCTTAATCACAGTCTCTTTGGTAAATAAACATCATTTCCAATCTGAAACAAAAGTTCAAGAGTTCTTCCACATTGACATAAGAGTTGGCAATTGTTTTGCTTTAGGGTCTCTACTCATGCTAATTCAAAAAATGAAGACAGAGATAACGTACCTAAAGACCCAGATACGGAAACCAGCTGCTATAAGTTCCTGATAGATTGGAAGCATAGATTTAGGAGAATCTTGCCAGTTGTTCCCAACAACATCACTGCATGAAAAATTTTCGTTATTTTCCTTCAATGACATCGTAAAAGTAGGATCTTAGCGAATTTCACAAGCAGAGATTTTTCTGTCTTTTTGGGTGAGACAATTTAACAGATGGTTATTGGAAATTCAAGAGTGAGAGCCAAACCTGCAAGTTGCCCAAGGGTATGGAATTCCAGTAACATTGGCATGAAGGGCCTTTTGTACCTCAGGAAGATTGAAGTACACCTTGGAGTGTCTTTCGGTGCATGGATCATATGCCCTTGACATCCAAGGCTGTCTAGATCATAATTACAGAACATGTTAATGGCCTTTCTCTAATGCAAAAGCAGTTGCAAACAGATTATCACGAAGTAATACTTATGAGAGTGATGCATAGAGGAATTAATTTATGTTTTACCATAAAAATAGCACAAGAAACATATTTAACTAAGTTACGTTCCAAATATAAACATCATAAACCCAGAGACTTATAACAGCTCACTACAAACAAGATGCAACATGTTCAAGAACTCATGGTTGGGAACAGTCAAACCTTTGAGAACTATATGGAACTAGGACGGAAGTTTGGAACAACTCTCAGAATATTCTATAGTATTATCAAAGTATTCTAAACTACTGTCACATATTAAGTTCCACTACCTTCATCATAACCTCACTTGAATTTCACAGGATTTTATTTTGAAGGATAATAGCAATGTATGCCTCACAAAGGCAAGATAGTACCTGTATCCTAGCCCAGGATCACTATACTACCATTAAATCACAGTTTGCTATGACGAGTCAAAACAGGTTTTTCACTAAACATCTCCAAAGTGATAACTTATTGTGCCCAAATCATTATTATGCAGTGGCATTTGCTGTAACTATAAGAGCTTGAGATATGAGCAAGTAAACATGCAATCTGTATCTCCTTCGGATGCTTGGTTCAAAAATAAAAGTCCTAGAGTACCTGTTTAATAGTGTGGCATAAAGGTAAGGGTACCATTGAACTATCATGGTATACTAACATACAATGCTCTGAAACAATAGAGTACCAGATATTGAAAGGAAAGTTCAAATTTTTATGGTTAAATAAGTGAGGAATCCATATCAATGTTATCAGATTCAATTTGCTATGGCCAAACTGACTGTAAGTTTTTTGCTTCTGGCCCTAAACTGAAGCGAAGCAAATCAGTCCCTGCTCATTTGAATCTATAGGTAAAAATTCCAAAAATAACCACAATACATTCAAAATTTCATGAGTGTCCTCAAATATTAAAAGCTTCATAAAAGTACTTAGCATGTATTCAAAACTTTGGGAAAAGTGCTTAATATATTAAATAATTTTCAAATTACCTACTTATTAGATATTCTATAGAATTTTTTTATTTTTAAAATACACCTACGACTTCCCCTGGATCTGCCAAAGAGTTGAAGCGCTCCTTTTTTCCAACCTAAACGAAGAACCCTTTGAAGAGAATCTAATAACATCGATCCTTCAAAGTCTTTTGGGTAATTTAGCCAGATTATGTGGACCTTATCCGCCTATGAATCAGCTATAAATGTTGCACTAAAGCAAACAGTCCATATAATCACAAGCTGATTATCTAAAAGTACAGCATTAGCAAAAAAAAAAATGACATTTCTGGTGGAGAAACATTTCCCTTTCTGAAATGAACAAGGAAAACAATAGTCCAGACCATCTATCAGGTACAAGTCACTGGTCAATCATACTACAGACATCAATTAACAAATCAGAAATTGTTGAAAAACAATTAGAAGTATGAAAGATCATGACCTATCAGTCCATTGTTATTGAACGCTTACCTGGAGGTCCAGGTAGTAATGGTTATAGGTAGGTTGGAGTTTACTTTATTGACCAGTATTGCCTTTACAAGAAGTGCTTCACTTCTCTATGGCTGGTTTCTAATTTCTTGGATGGTAATACCAGGATACTGGTTTTAAAACCTTGCAGGTAGAAGTTCTATTTTCAGAAGATGACATATTGGAGTACATGACCATGGGCATGTAACCATGTTGCTTACATACACCCCTTTGGAAGCCAGATAAGCAATTTAACTATGATTCCAAGGAAGAACACCCCCACAGGTCCAAATAAGGTCAGGGGATCATTTCTGCTTTCTCATATGACAACACACTCCGCCATGGTATTAGCTCCTTTTTCTTTTGCTTTTTTGCTACCTACTCAGACAGGCTTTGGACTTGCTAGGTGGGGGAGTCAAACAAAACCAGGTGATCTTATTTTTTGGACTAGGTCAACTACATCTTCAAAGCTTGGATTAGCGTTACCGAAAAATGATTCCAACATCAATTTCAAACCTGGGGCAGTTCAATCCCCTGGTAGCTTGTGAAAGTATTTGATTAAACCAATGGTTTAAAAACCGGATCGGTGACCCGGATCGGGCTTTTCAAAAACCGATCCGGATCGGCGAATCGATGATCCGGATCGGAATCGGGTGAATCGGTCAAAATAAAGCTTCAAAAAAATCCGAAAAAATTATTAAAATTC